GGTACCCTGTTTTGAATATTCTCAAAAATCAAATGGACTCATTATTTAATTCTAAACCACAATTAAATAGTTTGTGGAATTATTGTAAAATTTTATTCCACTATGAAACTTTTCAACGCGTCATCTTATAATAAATGGTTTTCCTCAAATGTTTCAAGAGTAATACTCTTCACGAAACATTTATAGAAATCACACCCAATTTTAATATGCTTGATTTCTTTCATGCAATTCTGGTGAATGTTGTCGTTCACTTATTGCATAGGTTTAGCTATGATTACTTTGCAAATCTTAGCATCTTCATTATCGAACACTTTTATAATAAGGTGATAAAATTTGAGAGTGTTATAGATTACATGTGATTTAGGATTTATTGTCCAAGTGATGGCTCCCACTCATTTTCATGGTTTGAGATCTTTCAACTTGAAAAACTACAATCATCAACGTTCGACAACGAACTTTCCATTGAAAAACTTTCTTATTATTGCCTTTCAGGCAACAATATTCTCAACATATATTTCAGTAGACTTTCTGATGGTGCTATGCTCGGATTTCATTCCAAATGGCTCACAATGATTTGGTAGACCCTAATCACTTGTGATTATGAAAATTTACCTTAAATTTCCACACATTATACATGGATGCACGTCCATGTTACCATTCTCAAGCCACGACGCATTCCATCTCGTGATTATAAACGGCTTCCTTATTAAGGATCTAATCCTTGCTAAGGATGTGCTTGCAACATCAATTCTCAAATTACATTTGTTTCCATGCGTCAAGAACTTATCCCCTTTACTTATCAAAGTACTTTGGACTTTTCTTGATCATAATCTAACGATCCATCACTTAGATTTTAAATTGATTGGTATTTTATACTTCTCATGCTCTAAGAATGTAAGTTGAGTGACGATTTCATATCATAGCATACATGATGGTTTCAATTGCAGAATTATTCCCAATATTATTCCATTCATGTGACCTTTTAGCTCATCCAGTTTCACCGAGTCTTGCTAAATTGTTTGCTATGTGATACGGTTGAAAGTCTCTACTAGAGTCTTTCTTGTTTGACTTAGTATTTGCCTAGCTTATACTTAGTTCAAACATTTACTTAGTTTTATACATATGGGTCAAAAGCCTTTCAAAGTCCTTCATGTTTAACACGGTAAATTCCTCTACTCGTTTAAACATTTCATTAAGTCTATCCAATAGATCTTAATTCCCACTATGTACTAAGTATCGCATTTTTCTTGGTCCATTGTCAAAAATCCTTTCAAATCTAAGCATTTAGCATTTGACAGTCATTTCACAATAGAGTTCGTAAATTTCTTGTTGGACCTTACAAGATCGACTCTTGCTCCCACTAAACTTCTTATCCATAAGAATTTCTATGTTTCTCCATAAACCAAACCTTTTATTAACTTTATGAGAATACACGTTCCAATTCCTACATGCAATGCTTCAGTTAATCCCACAATGGATTTCTTGAGCTTGCTTTCAAATCTAGCATTATTTAGAATTACAAAACCCTTAGACTATATCCATAGTCTCTTCCAAAATCCCATTTTATGAAGGCGGTTTCGTTATCTATTTTGCCATATTTAATATGCACAATTTTTCTAGAATAATCACAAAAAGACTTAAGCGTTCCTATTGGTGAATAGGTTTTTATTAAAATTAACGCGGTGAATTAATTGTATTCTTTTCAACCAATTTCGCTATGCATGCATATGCATTTCCACATTTGTTAGTTTTCTCCTTGAAAAATTATTTGCGATTGATGGGTCTTTCACCCTTCATGCAAATCAAGTTTCAAACATGATTTTCAAACATGGAGTCTTTTTCGGATTTTTATGGCCTCTAACCATTATTCGAAATTTGGATTTGTCGTAGCTAATTTACAAGACATTATTCCCTTACCATCCAATGGTAAATAGTATGCTTGTAAGTCTTAGGTTTATTTCTAACTTAATAGTAATTTATAGGATTCAATCCAAGTCTTTGGTGAATTCTATACCGATACGGGATAATTGCATCAAACACTGAGTTTCAAGGTGCTTTTAAAGCCCTTGATTGTATTGATCTTACTCCAACACTTCTAAAGTTTTGTGAGTACTGAATTCTCATTTAAGGCACTTGTAAAATCCTTTGAGTATTCTTGATCAATCATTCTCACAAAGCCCTTCTAAAGTGTTCGAAGATTCTCAATTTGAGTTTGTTGCTAATCTCGATGGACATCGAGTTCCATTTTCCTCCACTTTTCGTTTTGGAAATGTGTTACTTTCCACAAAGACACCACTTAGTGCAACAAATACTATGTTCTCAATTAGGTTGTGGAGGTAATGCTCGTAGTCTCACTTGAATGCTTACAAAGAGACATGTATATTGTCTTTGGGTAAAAGTTCATTGTGAAGGAAACAGTTAGCTCCCACTTAAGCTATCTTAGCCTTTATTGAGCCACTGAGCTCCCACTACGTCACTTAGCTCTCACTGAGCCGGTGAGCTCCCACTGAGCAAAGAGCCCTAGACATATACTTGAAAAGACGGTAGAAACTATTTCTATCCATAACTAAATATGGTGTCCTTTCATAGCTTCGACAATTTTTCTATTTAATGTAACACTAGTCATTTTGTGCAAATCTTTAAGAACTTTATAGGAAGTGATGTGATCCATCATCATTCGAGTCATTTCTAAATGGCATCGTGATCTCCGTCAAGACATATTATATTCTTTGTGGAGCTAATTATGAAATTCCGATTTCATAACTTTGATATGATCACTCTTGGCTCAAGCAAACAACGCTCGATGTTTTGATATCTTGCCAAGTCGATTCTAAACTTCATTGAACTTTTGAGCTACTCCAGGTCCAATTTGTTCACATTTGATGAATATAGCCATATTCTTTCAAATTCTTGTGAGACATTGAAGTAATGGAATTAGCTTTCGGAGTCTATTGTCTATACCAAGCACAATAGCTCCGTTCTTTGTCGATTTCAACAAGTAAGACTTGCTTGTCTTAGAACGATTCCGAATCGATCAACTATCAAGATTTTATCTAAAAGAGCCTTGAGTATGTTCTTGTCGATGTGACTTTGCTAAAGATGTTTGGAACACAAATCATGTTCATGACTTGAACTTTTGAGTTTTCATGTTAGGGAAATGTTTGTTTATAATCCAGCATTCTTGACTCATGGCTTAGACAACCATGCCAATCAAATAAAACCCGCAACTATTTCTATTTTACTTTGAATGTGAGTCTTTCCGTGTGTAAACGGATCACTTGCTGATTATGGAACATAATAACCATTATTTGTTCCAGGCTTAGCTTAAAAGGTCTTTTAAGAGAACAAATGACCTTACAACTGATGTAGCACTACTTGCTTCATTCTAAGCTTGTAAGTCAATAACTTAGCTTAAATTTAATGGTTTGAGGTCACTTCCAAAGTGGAATACTCAAGCAGTATCTAATACCTGTGAAGATAAATTGCTAAGTTTAACTACGATAACATGAACTCTTAGGCAGAAAAAGAATCTTATCCCTTTTCTTTGTTCCTTGTTTCCTATATTTCTTATCATACATCATCTTATAACTTTAAAAACCATTTCTTTAAGTGTTTTGACTTTTACACCTTGTTAGGAATAATTAAGCATCTAATGTGCCGTGAAACAAAGTTCCATCTTTTCCTTCAATTCGTACTTGAATTACTACATCAATGAGTTGTATTCATTAGTGTATGAAGCAAAAAGATATGTTGGTTGTCAACTATTGACAATTTGAGTTTTTCAACTCAATACTTCATGTTCATCAAAACTACCTAGTATTTTGAATACATGATGTCCAACCGTCCTTTCGGACTTTGGTCATAAAAGTCAATTATGAGAATTTGTATTTTAGAAATGCCTTTTCTTTCCTTGAGAACCATTCTCAAAAGATTTCCTTTACTAATCATTGAAAACAGTATAATTTGATTTAGAATTCTACAAATATTAGTGCAAAGTATAACCATTTATCAAGTTCATAACATAATAAGTTTGAAATTCAAAGCATACATGCAAAATTTCAATCTTATTACGCGTCTTATCCACGCATTAGTATTTGTCCCTTTTAGGTGAGAATAAAATGATTCCAAGATCCCAAATATCAAAAAGTGATTAAGAATGCTTTGGCTTGTCTTAACACTTAATATTTTAAGGTAATCAATCCAATTTCTAATAGCTCTAAGCTACTCTTGGTTCGATAAAACGTCGCATCTAATGCTTCCATGACATTTTATCTCCATTTCCACGACATCTAAGGATTCCTTACTGATATCATTGAGCTTAACCAAGACCAACTTGTATACCTAGTATACCTTATGTTCCTAGGAGAGTAGTGATGCCTCGCTTTGGCGTAGCCCATCACTACACGCATTAGTTCGGTAAGTGTTGTTCTTGGAATGACAAATTTGGCTCAATATTATAGGGACCTAGGGTTTCTATGTTGGTTGATTTAAGTGAACTTAATTAATCATCACAACATTTGAAATCCTAAACATGCATCGATCATACCATTAAATCATATATAAACACAATTGTATATATATAGAACATAAGTAAAAGATGCATTTGACAACTAGCATGACCCCTTGAGTCTTCAAATCTCCATGGGTCTTTGATGCAACTTCTTGGCTTGTCTTCTTAGAAATGTCGTCTTCGAGACATCTCCACCAAATATGCAACTACTAGTTACTACACTAGTAGAAAAAACTAAATAGGCACCCTCCCTATAGCACTGGTTCATGAAAACCGGTGCCAACTAAAACGAGCGCGAGTTAAAATTTCAGAGTTGGCACCGGTTCTTACTTGAACCGGTGCCAATTACGCTAATTAGCACCGGTTCAAACCGGTGCCAACTGTATTTTTTTAAAAAAAAAAAAAAAAGAATAGAGTTTGCACCGGTTAACCGGTGCCAACTGATTAATTTTTTTTAAAAAAAAATAAGAATAGAGTTCGCACCGGTTAACCGGTGCCAACTGATTATTTAAAAAAAAAAAAAAAACGAGTTTAAAACAAAGCTATATATGCCGAGTTTCTGGGTTTTAACAACTTCATTTCTTCTTCAGTTTATTTTTCATTCTCTCTCTTAGCTCTCTGAAATTCCTTATCTCTGAAATCTGAATGCATGCATGCCTCTCTCCTTCAATTCCTTATCTCTGATCTCATCTCTCATCTCTGTTCTTCTCTCTCCAACCAAGCACAACAGCCAACACAACAACCAAGCCGCTGCCGTCAAATTTGAGGTTAGGGTTTCTGGGTTTTGGGTTTTTCACAATTTTGGCTGGGTTTTCACGATTTCAGGGTTTTTCACGATTATAGGTTTATGGGTTTTGTGGGTTGAATTTGTGAGGGAGTTTTTGTGTGAAATCGTTCGTTTTTAAAGGGGTTTATTTGATCGAGTTTTGTTCGATTTTTTGGGTTTATTTGTCAATTTTTTTTCGATTTGTTTGGGGTTTATTTGTTCTGTTTATTTTTTGTTTTTTTTGGTTGAATTTATCTAGGTTAATCGTTCGTTTTTAAGGGGTTTATTTGATCGTTTTTTGTTCGTGTTTTTGGGTTTATTTCTTCGATTTGTTTTCGATTTTTTGGGGTTTATTTGTTCTATTTATTTTTTGTTTTTTTGGTTGAATTTATCTGGGTTAATCGTTCGTTTTTAATGGGGTTTAATTGATCGATTTGTGTTCGATTTTTTGCGTTTAATTGTTCGATTGTATTTCGATTTTTTTGGGTTTATTTGTTCTATTTATATTTTGTTTTTTTGGTTGAATTTATCTGGGTTGAATCTTAGTGCGTTGTTCGATTTTTTGGGGTTATTTGTTCGATTGTTTTGGTTAATTTGTTCTATTGATTTCCGATTTTTTTGGGGTTTTTATGTTCGATTTTGTGGGTTTATTTGTTCGATTTTTGTTGAATTTATCTGATTTTATTGTTTCAATTGATGCAGATTTGAAGGACGTGAATTTGCTGAGTTGATGTTCGAAGTTTCTGGGTTTTGGATTGTAATTTATTTTTCAGCAATTTTTCAGTTTTTTTTAATAAACTGAAAAAAAAAACAATTTATTTTGATGAATATAGCCTTAGCTTGTTCGATTTCAAGTTTTGGATTGAATGTATAAATTGGATTGATGAATAAATGTTATGCTGAAATATATTTTTTTTTTACTGTTTGAAGGCGTATTTGGCACCGGTTAACCGGTGCCAATTGAAGTTTAAATTAAAAAAAAAAAACAGCGCGCATTAACATTTCGCACCGGTTAACCGGTGCCAAAGTGTGTAGTTAGCACCGGTTAACCGGTGCCAATTGCTTTAGTTGGCACCAGTTTTGAACCGGTGCCAAATTTTTGGGGATTTGACACCCCTCAAATCCCCAACGGTTCAAAACGGGTGCCTTAGGGGGGGTTTGAACCGGTGCCAAATTAGCTTTTTCGTCTAGTGCTACGACTAGGATTAATCTAAATATTAAGGTACAAAAATACGTAACGGTACGCAGACAATATTTAGATTTACAAAAATACGTAACGGATCGCAATCCGTATTTACTATCCTAGTCGGGCCACACTAGTTGCCATTTTCTCAAAACCTGTGAAATAATATACATTCCATTCATCAATTCACTGTTTGTGAATGGCCCATGCATTTTACAACGAAAAACAAGTAACAATGCATAACACGTGCAAACTAGTAACTAACTTAGGTGGTTAATCCGATTAACATGCCTAATTAAAACTAGTCAAAGTTGTTTATCATTTTATGTGATTAAGACGCAATAAGTTCAAGTAATTAATGAAACTCCCACTAAATTCCGCATCCAACTTAAGTAATCTTATTAATTAAGTCGGTTAACCCATATTTTGCCAAATTATTTTGCAAGTGTCGGAGGAACCGAGGCCTAGCCTCATTAAAATAATTAAATAAATAATTAAAACGACCCAATTACGCAAAATGATAGCCCACCACATGCCCAAGTGCCTAGCATTAAAGCCACGGGGCTAGGCTTGCTAGGCACCAAGGGCCGTGGATAGCTTGCCTAGGGTGCTGGCCTGCCCAGCCAGCAGCGCACCCCACGCCTGCTGGCGCTGGCAGCTTGTGGGTAGCCTGCTAGCGTGGCTGGCTTGCTGCCCCTAGTGCCGCACAAACCGCAGCCTATTGCTCAAAAAACGCAGCACATAGCATACTAGCCGCAGCATCAAGTGTGCACTACCTTGCACACATCACACATTAGCGTATCAATGGGTCAAGGCACCTCACACACACTACTAGAAAAAAGACTTATGGCAACGACAATAGTCTGTTACCATATGTCCCATTAATGTTGCCATATGCCTAATATATTACACATAATTGTATCATATAACAAACTAATTAAATCTTCTAGAATTTAATGATTATAACGACTATAATTTATTAGTTAGGTAATACTTCACGCACCGTCTCTTTGCCGCAATTAATGAATTTTGGTAGTGTGATATAACAAACTAATTGGATCTTCTAGTATTAAATTCCTTTTTAGTTTTAAGTTCTAATAATCCACTATTGTATCATTAAGGGGTATGCGATTAAGCGTTTTCTCCGTTTTATTTTATACGGAATAGTGATCTACTATGCGTAAAACATGGCAGAGAACTTTAATTATGGTACTCAGATTAGTTTTTATTTTCAGTGGGTTGCAAATACTTATTGACTATAGTTTGACATATGATAATTAAATCTATGATGAGTAACCTATTATACCTTGAATTATCATGAATATTGTTTGACACAGTATTAATATGGAGTATATTTGGTATTGGTGTCAATGTCAAAGACTTTAACAATAGCTAAAGTTAGGCGAAGTATAATTAGTGCCGAATTTTAGTGTCGAATTCCAGAGTCATAGTTTCACAATACTTTCCATGTTTTGTTATGATAAGTTAGGCAAGTAGATATTAGGTATAAATTTATTTCTTAAGGTTTATGTTTTGTTATGATAATTGATTAATGGACTTAATTGTGGTCTCATGAACAATAACTTCTCAAGATTCAATACGCAAATCTTGCTATAATTAATTACTTGAAATTAGTCGTCTTATTTGAAACTTGGAATATATATATATACATATATATATATATATATATATATATATATATATATATATATATTATACCATCTTAATTTCTAATTTATAATATTGTTTTATATATCAGTGAATCATGTCAAACCTTGCAAAACTCGATTTTGTTGCTCTTGATATTAATGGAAACAACTATCTGTCTTGGGGTGTTAAATGCTGAAATACATTTAGATGCAAAGGGACTTGGTGATACTATTAAAGAAAACAACACTGCAACAAGTCAAGATAAGGCTAAAGCTATGATATTCCTTCGCCATCACCTTCATGAAGGCCTTAAGACTGAGTACTTGCCTGTTAAAGACCCACAAGTCCTTTAGAGTAATCTAAAGGAAAGGTATGACCACCAGAAAACTGTGATATTACCAAAAGCTCGTTATGACTGGTTACATTTAAGATTACAAGACTTTAAGTCTGTGAGTGAATATAACTCAGCCATGTTTAAAATTACATCACAAATGAAATTATGTGGAGAGAAAATCACGGATGCAGAAATGTTAGAAAAAACCTACTCTACTTTTCATGCAAACAATGTTGTCCTGCAGGCACAATACCGCGAAAAGGGTTTTACAAATATTCTGAATGGATATCTTGTTTCCATGTGGCTGAGCAAAATAATGAACTATTAATGAAAAATCATGAACCACACCCAACTGGCTCTACTCCATTCCCCGAAGCGAATACGACATCCCATAGTGGGAAAGAGCAAAAGGCTAGAGATCACGCCAGCAGTCGTGGTCGAGGCCGTGGTCGCGGCCGCGGACGTGGACATGGTCGTGGTCGAGGTGGTCATTTTAGGAACACATACTCTCACCAGAAGTAGGACAATAAAGATGAAAATAAGAATGAGAAGGATAAAAATGAAAATATATGCTACCGTTGTGGAGGAAAAGGCCATTGGTCTCGTGTAAATCACACACCAAAACATCTAGTAGACCTTTATCAACAATCAATCAAACAGAAAGGAAAGAAAGTGGAAACAAATTTGGTGTATGAGGATGGCGAAGGTGATTTTGATTATGGTGATACAACTTAGCTGGAAGCGGCTGATTTCTTTCCTAATCCTGAAGAAAATAATTGAATAAATTATGATCCATTGGCGAATAAACTCTATTAATTAGCTTGCATTTATTATAGAATTTTATCGTAGTATTATGACTTTATGTTTTATGGGACATTTGTTTTCGGACAATTTTATGTTTTTGGACATTTTTATGTTTTCGGATATTTCATTATTTATCATTATCAGTCATTTATTAATTTAAGTTATTTGATTTAGTGAATCTTATTTTAGTTCCTTTAATCTTTTAGAATATGAATCCCTTTGGAGCTCAATCATCAACCAATGGTGAAGATTTATGTCTAGTTGATAGTGCTACCACTCACACCATACTTAAGAATAAGAAATATTTTTCGCAATTGATGATGAAAGAAATTAGTGTGAATACTATATCAAGCAGTAAAAAATTATAGAAGGCTCCGGAAGAGCAAACGTATTATTGCCAAGGTAAACAAAATTGGAAATTATTGATATTCGACAAAATGGATACCATATTGAGACAATTAGTGAAGGAAATAATGAATTCCTTCAAATCACGAGTATAACTCAAGGCAATAAACTTATTATGGAGAAATTACCTACATTCTCCATTGGTTTGTACTATACAAAAATCAATACAATTGAATCACATGCTATAGTAAACCAGAAGTTTACTGATGACTTCAAAGTTTGGCATGACCGGTTAGGCCATCCCGGTTCAATAATGATGTGAAAAATAATCGAAAATTCATGTGGACACTCATTGAAGAGCCAACAGATTCTTCATAATAATTTTTCATGTGCTGCTTGCTCAATAGGCAACTTAATACTTCGGCCATCACCAGCTAAAATAAATTCCGAATCAATTACTTTTCTAGAACATATACAAGGGGATATATGTGGACCAATTCATCCCCCATGTGGGCCATTTAGATATTTCACGGTTTTAATAGATGCATCAACTAGATGGTCACACGTATCATTGTTATCAACTCGCAACCTGGCGTTTGCGAGACTACTTGCTCAATTGATCATATTACGAGCACATTTTCCAGACTTTCCTATTAAAGCTATTCGTCTTGATAACGCTGGTGAATTCACATCCCAGGCCTTTGATGAATATTGCATGTCAATTGGGATTAGTGTTGAACATCCTGTAGCACATGTTCACACACAAAATGGTCTTGCAGAATCTTTAATTAAACGTTTGCAATTGATTGCTAGACCATTATTTATGAAATCTAAGCTCCCAATTTATGCTTGGGGGGCATGCTATAATACATGCAGCAACACTAATTCGCATCAGGCCCGACAATTCATCATAAGTTCTCCCCATCACAATTGGTTTTTGGTCAGGAACCAAATGTATCCCATTTGAGAATATTTGGATGTGCAGTAGTATATGTTCCAATTGCTCCACCACAACGTACTAAAATGGGCCCTCAAAGAAGACTAGGGATATATGTTGGATATGAATCTCCATCGATAATTAGAGCCAACTACATGAGATTTATTTACGGCTCGTTTTGCAGATTACCATTTTGATGAATCAATTTTTCCAACATTAGGGGGAGAAAACAAACAGCTGGAAAAGGAAATTAGTTGATTATCATTATCTCACCTAGATCCTCGTACTAAACAATGTGAATTGGAAGTCCAAAAGATAATTTATTTACAAAACTTAGCAAATCAATTGCCAGTCTCATTTACTGACCCAAAGAAAGTGACAAAGTCACATATACCAGCTGAAAATGCTTCGATTAAAATTGACTTCCTAGAAGGACAAGCCCAAGTGGCAAATGATTCTAAACCACGCCTGAAGCGTGGTAAACCCATCGGTTCCAAAGATAAAAATCCTCGGAAGAGAAAAGGAGAAACTATTGACAATGGCCAGACCGAGGAAGCTATTAATTTTGAAGGATCTCCAGAAGAGACCTTAGACATGATGGAAAAAGATATTCGGGTACCTGCAATGAAGAAATTCAACAAATTTTATCATGTATGGAATTACATGG